GGTGCAGTCAGGCGCGCTACGCAGTAGACACAACAAGGAATGCACACACACACACACATGTCAACTGTCAACTGTTACCCCGAAGGGTGCACCACATCTGGCGGTGTGCCAAGCCAGAGCAGTGCTTGAGGAATCCAGAGCAAGCTCAAGGATGTACCTCCCCAGAAAAAATAAATGCGACAAGCAAGTCTCGAGTTGGAGACATATCAGTTGTCACACTGATAAGAACAGATACTACACTTGATCATAGCCAAAAGGCCGAGAAGGTATGCTCAAAATCGCGCGGCCGCCACCAGCGCCGCCGCGGCAGCTACAAAATACCCTCCCCCCCCCAGGGGGGGACTCCTCCCTGGGGGCATTTGGCTCGAGGCTTCGGCGCCCCGAGGGGCCCATCCGAGTCCGAGGACTGAGGTGGGCCACCCCTGCGCCGCGCCTGATGCGCGCCACTGCGCCCCAGCACGCAAAACGCAAAGTTGGCGCGCCCCACCCCTGCGCCGCCCCAGACCCAGCGCCCCCGATGCCGCGCCGCCCTAGATGCGCGCCACTGCGCCTGTGGCCCCAGCGCTCCAACCCATCGCTGCGCCCAGCACATCGGCGCGCCGCGCCTGATGTGCGCCACTGCGCCCCAGCACGCAAAACGCACAGTTGGCGCGCCCCACCCCTGCGCCGCCCCAGACCCAGCGCCCCCGATGCCGCGCCGCCCTAGATGCGCGCCACTGCGCCTAGCAAGCCACTGCGCGCAAAACACATCGCTGCGCCTAGCAAGCCCCGCCCCTGCGCCGCCCCAGACCCAGCGCCCCCCGCGCTCGCGCCCAAGACGCCGCACCGCCCCAGATGCGCGCCACTGCCTCCGGGGGCCGGTGGCCCCAGCACTCAAACACATCGCTGCGCCTGCGTCTGTCCATATTCTGGAGGCCGCTGCGCCCGCGATGCCCGACAGCGACAGGCGGGCCCCGACCCCGACCATTGCCCGTCGAGCGGCGGCCCCAGCGCACCGCCGCCGCCCCGCCCGCAGATCAGACGTGGGGGGGGGGCCTGCCCGACGCTGCCTCGCTTCGCCCCATTTGCCCCGCCCTGCCCAGGGAGCGGCGGGCGCGACAGCGCGACACAAACGGCCACCCCCGCCCCTCCGCGACGGCACAAAAAAAGGGGGGCCACCCATCTCAAACCTGGGTTTGGGGTGGGTAGCTGGCCTTGTTTCCCGCAACCCCGCCCCGCCAGGATCCCGAAGAATCAGCCCGCCTTCCCCCCTGCTGGGGAGCGGCGCCGCCAGCATTTCTGATACCCCGCACCCTTTCGTGGCAAGCGCGGCGCGCACGGGGGTTATTGATAAACTTACCTGGCTAGTGTTGGGCGGAGATCCAGCAGCTCGCTCTCATAGGGTCGAGCAGCTCGCTGCACTCTGAGGCCTGTAACGCCTTAGGAGCCTCCATCGTCCTCGTCCTCGTCCTCGTCCTCGTCCTCGTCCTCGCCCTCGTCCTCGTCCTCGTCCTCCTCCTCATCCTCCTCCTCCTCCTGCTCCTCCTCCTCCTCTCCTCTACAGGTGTCTTTGTTCAACCTTAGACTGCAACAATCAACATATTGCTATAGCATCTATGATGATTGCACTGGCTGCTGTCTGGCAGAACCGCATAGATAACTGAGATGTGCAAAACATCCATCGTTTGGTGTTGTTCGAGAGAAATCCCTTATCTGATATTCCATAGTTTGATTGGTTCGGGCTCCTTAGATCTTGGGAGCGCTGCCCAGAAGCACGGGCGCGCGTGGGAGTTTGGGAGCGCCTGGGTGTGCATTGCGAGTCCATGGGACCTAAAATGGCCTGGGAACGACAAAGCAGAGGACGCCTGAGGCGCTGGCAGGGACACGCGCGCGGTGGTGCTCTGGGGACTCTCGGGAGCCACCTGGGAACGCGTAGGAACGGTACGGAGTTCCTGCTGTCATCGCCCCAGCACAGCCAGGGCGAATCGGGCCGGCGCTCGGACTGGACATCAACTCCAGGGGTATGGAGACATGTAGGGGCTCATTTCCTCCTCCCCGGCGTTGCTGCTTGAGGTGGGCAGGCAGATCTCCCCCTGCCCCCGGAGAGCAGAGGCAGAAGCCCCGGCAGTCTGTAGCTGGGGCTGAGGCTGGCCGGGGGTGGGGCTGGGGAAAACTAGAGCCGCGGCAGGCTGAAACTGGGGCCGAGGCCGCGACAGAGTCCGGAGCCAGTGCGGGCCGAGGCCGAAGCCGAGGCCGCAGGCAGCCCGATTCGGCCGAAGCGGCCTGGCCGGGGCCAGTGCAGGCCGAAGCTGAAGCAGGCCGAGGCCGATGCTGAGCCCGCAGCCGAGCCAGGCTGCGGCTGTCCCTGATGCAGGCCGAGGCAGCGGCCGAGGCCGACGCAGACGCTGGGGCGAGCTGAGGCTGGGGAAGGCCGAGGCAGGGGCTGCGGCCGCGGCAGGCTGAAACTGCGCACCCAGAGGCCGCCGGGGGAAACGGGCCACGCTGCGCGTTAGGGCCGGCTGCGTGAGGTCATGCTGCCCCTCACAGACTTGAAAACGCAGAAACGCCCCAGCCTGGGCAGCAATACAGGGCGAGGTGCGTAGAGGTGTTGCACCCGACATGCGCGCGCCTGCGCGATTTCAGGAAAGTTGTCGGACGCAACACATGCCACTAGCTCCTGAATCAGCGCCAACAACTGGCTACACCAGACACATGACGTCGCTGTGCCCACTCATACTGGTAGATGTGCTCATGAAACCAACTGACGGTGATCTTCAAGCCAGTTCTGGCCAATCTCAACTCAGCAGGTTTTACAAAATCATCACACATCTTCAGTGAATCTGTATTGTCGCAAATATGCTCAGGAAATCACTGTAGAAGTGATCCTGTGCAAGTATAGTCGACAAAAATTCCTACAGCTACGGCGACTTACCCGATAAAACTAAGACAAACAACAGCGCCAAACTGTAGTAAAATTACGCACCCTACCGTCGCCCCTGAGTCACCCCCGTCTCGGGAGGTGCGGGCCCTGCTCTGGCGACCCCTTGAAGCTGCGCGCAGAGGGGGGGGGGGGCGAGCGGGTGGGAACTTCTAAGAAGCCTTCCCCCCTCGCCCTGCCCCCCTCTGCGCGTCGCCAAGTGGGGGAGACCTTGGGGGGAGCCCCCCATGGGGACGCGAAACGCGCGAGGGGTGTGCAGAAATGACCCGAGGCCGCCATGCGAGCGGCGCCACTGGGACCTTCCTTGGGTGGAGTTCCCCGTGGGACCACGAAGCGCGCGAGGGGCGCGCCGAAATGACACGACCCCGCCACGCGAGCGGCGCCACTGGGACCCTGGAGGGAGCTCCCATGGGGCCACGAAACGTGTGAGGGGCGCGTCATGATGCAGAACCAAGGAGGGGGGGGAGGGAGGAGGCAGCGGGAGGAGGAATGAAGGAACGAAGGAAGGAACGCGGGGCGCTATCTCTTCAAAACGAGGACCCAACACCAGAGGATGGCCGGGGAAAAAAAAACATCAGTTTTGATGCGAGTCAATTCTGCAGTCGATCTCCCACTCGAGGCTCTGCCACCCTTAACGGCGCCCACCTCGCCCTGGCCGCCCGAAACGGGCACGGAAAGAATGGGCACAATTCCCAACAACAAATTCTGTCCCAAAGAGCGGCCGCTGCTGGGCAGGCGGCCTTCTGTCTCGAACGGGCACAGGCCGCGGCGGCGAGGACAGCGAGTCCTGTTCAAAAGGAACAGGAACTGTTGCAGGGCAGTGTGCCCGTTCTTTCCGTACCCCCTTCGTTCGTGCAGAGGCCCTGGCCGCCCCCCGCCGCCCCCTCCGCTGCGCCGGCGCCCCGCACGGCACGCGCAGAGAGCTCCACCTGCCTCCGCCCGGACACCCTGGCAGGGATCGGGGGGGGGCGCGGGGCCCACCCCAGGAAGAGGCGAGCCGAGGTGTTTTTTTCTTCGGCGGGCCACCGGGCGCGCGCACCCGAAGCGCAAGCTGGGCCTGCATCTGCCGGCGGGCAAGACAGAGCCTCCCCGCCGGAGAGGCCGCAGCACAGGCGAGAGGCGGGCCCCAGCCCCCCCCCCCAACCAGGACGGCTGGGGCTCACGCTCGACCCGGCGCCGCGGGAGCACGCCAGCCAGCACGGACAGCCACAAATCCCGCCCCTGCAGCTGAACATGAAAAAAAAACTCGAGATCGCCCCCTGTTTCGCTACCCCTTGGTTCGCTCCCCTCTTTCCTGAACACTTGGCCTTCCCTCTTTCTTTGTCTCTTGGTTTTCTGCACCTGCTTCTTTACCTCTTTCTTTGCCGATCGGTCGTTCCCTCTTTTCCTGTCTCTTGGCTTCTTCCCAGGAGGGAAAAAGGGAGGAGAAGGGAGGAGGAGGAAAGAAAGAGGAAGGAGGAGGGAGGAGGAGGAGGAGGAGGAGGAGGAGGAGGAGGAGGAGGAGGAGGAGGAGGAGGAGGAGGAGGGAGGAGGAGGAGGAGGAGGAGGAGGAGAGGAGGAGGAGGAGGGAGGTGGGAGAGAGGAAGAGGGAGGATAGGGAGGAGGGAGGAGGGAGGAGGGAGGAGGAAGGAGGAGGGAGGAGGGAGGAGGGAGGAAACAAAATCGCTGACTGACCGGTGGGGATAAAAAAAGCGGACCCTTTCGTCTTCGATCCCGCGCTCGCCCCCCCCCCACCACCACCACCATACCCAATCTCAGAATTGGCCTCGGTCTCCCGGAGGCCCTATGTTTTTCCATGTTTTTGTCCCCTCGCGCCTGTGCTGCCGAACGCTTGGGGCCAATTCTGCGACGGTGGGGAGGGGGGGGGCGCGGTGTCAAGGGCTCCACTGCTGCATCCATCCGCGGAAGGAAACGAGGGAGGTGGAAGGAGGAGGAAGGAGAAAGGCCGAGGAACGAGGAGAGAGGAGGAGGGAGGAAGGAGGAAGGCCGAGGAACGAGGAGAGAAGAGGAAGGAAGAGGGAGGAAAAACGAAGCCGCCGAGAGACGGGGGGGAGGGGAGTGGAGGAGGGATCTCGTGGCGCGCCTCGTCCGCAGGAGCGAGCCCATCGCTCACCATGGCGTCCAGCGAGAAGAAAAGCTTCATCAGCGGCGCGTCCATGTCCTGTGAAAAACTCCTTTCCGTTTCCGCTTTGATTATCCAGCCAATCCTCCTCGACCCGACATTCATGATGTCGGGCTTCGGTAGCGAATGTTGCTGTACTCCCCCCCTCCCCCAGTGGCCTTCGCCACGGAGGGGGGGGTCGGGAACATGCAATGGAAGGTTACACATGCATATGGAGCGCCAGGGAGGTGGAGGCAGGCAACGAAACGGCGAGCGACCAACAGCCACACAGATGTCCTCCTCCTCCTCCTCCTCCTCCTCCTCCTCCTCCTCCTCCTGCTCCTCCTCTCGGCCTCCTCCTCCTCCTCCTC